CAAGACCAGCCTGGGCTACACAGTGAGTTTCCGCTCAGTCTCAACAACATAGTGAGACCCTGTCTCAAAAAAACAAAAACAAAAAAACAAACAAACAAATTAATGGAAGGACTAACAGACACTGGAGCAGATGTCTCCATCCATCTCACCACAATGTTGGCGTAAAGACTGGGAAGCTTCTACCTCCCTGGTGGGACTAGGCTCACTACAGCAAGTACTACAGAGTACTGTGCCACTGCCTTATGAAGCCCCAGACGGACAGGCAGGATGTGTGTGCCCTTACATTGCACCCATTCCAGTAAACTTATGGGGTGGAGATTTCCTGAAGGAATGGAAGGTGGTAATCACAACCTTGTCTCCTGCCACATCTCCAGCCAGGCATACGATGGATAAAATGGATTATCAGGAAGGAAAGGGATTAGTTAGGCAGCTTCAGGGACAAACGCAGTACCTAGAGCCTCAGGTAAAAAAAACAATTATTATGAACTTGGATAGGAGTCAAATTTATAATGTGGGCCACTGCATAGGGCATGTCAAATATTTGGATTTGATCCTCAACTTATAATTTTGCCATTAGATAAGGCGCAAATGCAACTGTTGCTACAGACTGATGTCTACTGGCAAGTTGCATTTGCGGATTTTATTGAGCAAATTGATAATCATTATCCAAACAACCCCTTGCTATAATTTTTTACGCAACAAGAATTTATTCTCCTTGTTATAACCAAACTTCAACCCCTTAAGGAAGCAGTGACACTTTTCACAGATGGCTCCTTTAAAGAGAAAGCAGCAGTATGGAGTAAAAATTTTCAGCATGTCATTTTAACTCCTGACCTTTCAGCTCAGAGATGTGAACTAACAGCCGTTCTTTATGTAATAGAGAATTTTCCAGCACAAAGCTTAAATATTGTGAGTGACTTCTCCTGTGCAGTTTACTTAACTCAGTGCTTAGAAAATGCCATAGTTCATTCCTCATTGGAACCAAAATTACTAAAAATTTATTTCTAAGATTACAAAAAGCTACTTGTAAATGGACAGCACCCTTTTTTTATTGAACATATTCAATCTCATTCCAATTTACCTGGACCTTTATCATATGGTAATCATCAGGTTGATATGTTAATTGGATATATTTCAGCTTTTGAACAAGCTAGAACATCACATAATTACTTTCATCAAAATTCTAAAGCTCTGAAAAGAGAGTTTCAGCTTACTCATGCTCAGGCTCCATAAATAGTCATGGCCTGCCCTTCATGTCAAAAAATTCTACGACCTGTGCCTCTAGAAGGGATTAACCCTCGAAGCTCAGGAAGCAATATGATTTAGCAAATGGAAATAACTCATGTCCCCTCATGTGGAAGAACACAATTTGTTCACGTTTCTATTGATGCCTACTCTCATATGATTCATGCTACTTGCCATGCTGGGGAAAAGAGCCATTATATCCAACAGCGCAGTTTGTCTGCCTTTGCAGCCATGGGCGGGGGGTCAAAAAGCATAAAAACAGATAACAGACCTTCATATGTCAGTGAACTTACTCAATAGGCTTTTCACACTTGGCATATAAAACATATTGCAGGTCTACCTTACAACCCCCAAGGACAAGCAATAGTAGAAAGCGCACACCAAAGTTTAAAAAATCAATTACTTAAACAAAAGGGGAATTCAAGTACCCCCCACTCCAAGCAAGATTAGATCTGGCAACTTTTGTTCTAAATTTTTTGAACCCTGCTGCTGGCTCTTCCTTGCCACCAGCCATGCTTCACTGGCAACCACTGAGGCGAGGCCACAAGGTACTTTGGAGAGATACACAGACCAGGACCTGGCATGGTCCTTCCACTTTAGTAACAATGAGCTGAGGGTTTTAGACCTCAGCATCTGGACAGCGATGGAGAAATGCTGTGACTGCCATCCTGGAGCATGTGTCCACGGATGGAGATGGGTCCACAGACAGCAGCACCACGTGGCACCCCCGCTGAGAGTCACGCAGAGGCTGAGTCTAAGCGACTCCCCTTGCAGCTCACATCCACCACCGAGACTTAGGAGCCAATGAGCTCTATGGGTGCCAGACCAGAGCAATCATCCTGCTCAAGCGATCGATGGATACATCTGGAGAAGAGTATTTTTGACTTCCAGTACAATGGTTGGGTCTATGGCCCAGACCCATTCTATCCAGCCTGCTCATTTATAGATAACTGGACAAAGACTGTTGTTAACAGCTGGAGAATCCAGCAAGACACTGACCTTAAATTACAAACTCAGCCTGCTGTAGAGGAATAAGAATCAACCGACATCTGGAAATGCTCCAACCTCAGATCACTCTGACACACCTTCTAAAGACAGAAGGCAGAGATGCCAGAGCCCTCAATATTGATTATGGCCCAAACAGGTTCTCAATACAAAAATCTTATGTGATGAAGATCAACTGTAAGAGAACACCATATTTTCATTCTGAGAGATACTGTCTACTCATTGATTCTTGAATTTCAGAAAATTAATCTAAGATGCTTTTATATGAAGACTCATCAAATCTGAGACTTTGCTATAACCCATTCCCCTCATCCTTAGTCTAGAGAGCTGCTATCCATCTCTGCATTCATCTTAGTTGTCTAAGAAACATCTTCCTATGTACATTCTTTTATCTCTGCCATTATGGAAAGAAAATAAAAAATTCTGAATTCTCATTTAGCCTAAATAAGACAAAACAATTACAAAAATGAAGATTTATTTTGAAAACATTTATGCTTAAAAATTGATATAGCTGGGCACACTTCTATAATCCCAATATTTTTGGAGGCTGAGGCACAAGGATCTCAAATTCAAGCCCAGCTTGGGTGATTTAATGATGGACCAAAAGACCTTGCCTCAAAAATAAATTAAAAAATTGTCTGAGGTTGTAGATCAGTGCAAAGGCCCTGGGTTCAATTCCTGGGTTAAAAAAAAAACAGAACAAAACAAAACTGATGTAAAATTTTAAATTTTACAGAATATGAAAACCAAAGCATGATGAAATCATTATGATTTATTTCAATATTTCACTGTCCTAGGAAATTTTATTTTTTTGTATTTTAGTCATTTTCTTCATCACAATGGGAAATACTTGATAAAAATGATGAAATTATTACTATCATGAAATAGTTTCAATATACAGTAAAAATAAGATCACTCAAATTTCATAATGTACTTTAAATTTATAAAAGGGTCCTATATACTAATGTACAGATAAAATGCATTTTCTCTTAAGTAAATATTTTTCCTTCTTTGGAAGACTTCCATGAAGGAATAAAAGTTACACCTATCAAATTTTTATAAACAGTAGGAGCTCATCAAAAAGAAACCAAAAATTAAAGCTGATATTCATGAGCCTTTGATAATGTAGCAAGAATTAATGAAACAAATTCCACTTGAATTGAATGACAGACTTTGTGGCTGTATCATTCCCATGAAGCTTCTGAAGTTCTGAACCATTAAAACACTACATTGGGAAAGAGAAGGAAATATGAAGATTTCAAGAAAATTCACTTGTATCAGTTTGGAAAATTCTATACAAATTTCTCCTAAAAGAAATAAAAGCAAATGTCCCTTGTGTATTTTTATTTTATTGTGTAGCTACTGATGATACAGAGCCCTTTGGATGTAGGCACAAGCCAACTACTCCCACAGACCAGTAACGTTATGTTCTTAATGACTCTGTCTAAAAGACTAACAGAGATGCTTGAATGATTTGATATACTTTTAAGTTAGACATGCACTTTAATAACCACATTCAGTTAAGTAAATCAGTCTCATAATCTAGAGAAAAGACCAATTTTAAAAGATTAAAGTATATCCTGCACTACTGTTTTTATTGATGAGCATTTATTAGCTTATTTGGTTTACTTTTTAAATCTAGAGGAGAACTTTAATTTCATTTTTAGACCTAGACAAAAACATGTAGCATAATTAGGAAGTAAAATAATTCAGTATTTCTGAGGTTAAAAAACTCTTATCAAATTGTTATATAACTTCAAGCAGATACACTTTCAAAAATAAACCTAACATGCTTCTCACAATTCATGTAAGATCATATTACAAGATTTCTTTGTTGATTCTTAGCCCATTCTAAGTCTTTTAGAGAGGACAAATGGAAGGCACTTTTAATACTAACGGAATGAGATGATGATACTGTATGAGTTTCTCAGGTTTTAATGATACTGTTTTGAGGATGCAAAGATGATATTGATCTCTCTAACATCAATAATCAGGGGCAGAGACTGAAAATCAATACGGCTCTGCTGTGCACATAACCACCTGAGTGGTTCACTTCCTCTAAAACCACTTTCCGCTTCCAGTATTAAGCTGCTGCACCTTCTCTGTCATTTCTCCTCCCTGCCTTACTATCAACAATGAGTACACATTTTATATTTTCTACCATCAGATAAGCAATCAGACAAGTATCAAGGATTTTACATTTTTAACTTAACTATTCAATAATGGGAAGTATGCATAAAAACTTACATACAACAGTGATCTCGGCACCAAATAAATAAGCAAAAAGCTGGAAACAACCTTCAATCTAAAGAATTAGCTACAGATAATGTTATATCCATCCAATGAAATAATGGTCATTAAAACTTGTATTTTCCAAAAAATAAGAAGGATATGTATAAGGGCTAATGTGTTAAGTAAAGAAGATATAAAATGAGTCAAATTGTGTAAAAAGAAACGCTCAAAAAATTAAAATACACAATAAAATATTAATAGTTGTTCTCTAGACACGTGTGTGGGTAACTTTTACCTAAAAAATTATTTTGGTTTTCATAGAACACGTACAGCTTCTATTGTGAAACGTGTTTAAAATATCAAAAACTGTATTTTTCCGCTAAATCAGCCATAAATGTTTTTTCACATTGACTTAGAATCTGCTCAAATCACCAACGTCAAATAGTCACATATTTTGTGCTTAAACTCTGTATCATCCACATACACTGGACCATGGCACCAAACAGTCCCTTACGCACCTGGCTTTTCTTCAGGTTTTTCAATAAAATAAGGCTTTCTTTTCATTGTTCCTCTCAATTCCTGTTTCAAGGCCAGCATGTAATCTTCACTTTCTCCTGTTTTCAGTGGCACCGGCTTATAATCTGTATCCTACTTAAAAGACAAATATTTAAAAATAAATGTAATATTTTAACATCTTTTCTTCCTATATTCTAGAAAATGTCAGTTTTATCAAAAAATTGCTTTATAGGCACTAATTTTTACAATAAACCTAAAAGGGTACCTGTGAATATAATCTTTGAGCCCATTTTCTAGTTTGTTCTTATTTTAGAGGTAGGAAAGATGCATAATTTTCCTATTGATACAAAAAAACCTACACTGATAATCACTTTGCTGTACTGTCGGTTGACTAATGCAATCCACATTTTAAAAATCAGCATGCCCAAATGATGGCAGTCACTTCCGTGTCTGTTAACTTCAACTAGGTTATTGGTAGGAGCGTAGCATAAAAATAAAATAAATAATAGCACTTTATCATTTAGCAAGAGGTCACTAGGGCCAAGATTGTCTTAATACAGTATTCAACATCTATTATGTCATTTAAAGTGGTAGTAATACTTCCAAAAATAAAACAAAAGAAAACACAGCGAAGACATGGAGAAATGAAAAGTTTGCAAGCTACATAATGAGTAAACGGCAGTACAGGAGTTTGCAGCTGCATTTTAAAGAGAAAACTCCCACACATCCATGAGCATGCATGTAATTACATGTAATTATATATGTAATTACACACACACACACACGCTCATTAGGAAGTGCCCCCCATAGTACAGGGTAAGGATACATTTCCAAACGTGACTAGACTGTGCCCATTCATCCCAGGGTTTCCGGAATACCAACTGCAGGCCGGGCAGGGTTGGACCACAGGGGATACCATGAAGACGGATCAGAGCCCTGCTCGGAAACACACAACAAATAAGCCACCCAGTGGGCAGGGACAGTGAGGTGGAAATGAAGGAAGGAGAGCAGCGGAAGGGTGAGGACCACGGAGCATGGGGCACATGTGGCCCACCTAGCTGGCAAATGTGCGTGGCCTCGGGAAGTCACATTTGGAGTGCAGGAAGCCATCCAAGAAAGCCTGGAGAACAGAGGGTCAGGGCAATGGCAGGAGCCAGACAGGAGAGAGGCGAGCGCATCGGCCACTGCACCACACCCCAGGGTTTAGGAGGAGAGAGAAAAAGGGACCAAAGGGATGCTACATCTGTACCACAGCATCGCACTGCGCTGAGCACCATGGAGCACAGCACCACCACGAGCAATTGAGTACCTGCACCACTTGCTCAGGGCCTCTCAATGAAAGTCCTTCAACGGACTTTCCTGTGTGAAACAGGGAAAAGATTCACAAAGAGACAGTATCTTTGCTCTTTTTTAAGCCACAGCACAGGCACACCTGGAAATGTAAGCTTACCTTTCCAACTAAATGGAGAGCAAAACCAGAAGCCGTGATGCCAATTAGGTTTGCAGCATATCACAAAATTTAAAAGCAACACTGCATGTAGCAGAAATGTCTACACTTTGAGAAACTAACGGAGCTCAAAATGGCTGAGACAATAGGAAAATAGAAAAACTTTTTCAGTGAGAAAAATGGTCAAGCTGTACGTTAATAACAAAATTAAAGTTTATAGATAAAAGATGGAAAGACATTCACTACATAAAAGTGGCAGAATGAGAACTTTTGCAGAACCACTTTGCAAAATCTTCTGGTAATTGAAATACATCAGTAACAGCAATAAAAAATGAAAGAATTTAAAAATTACTGTTTCACACAGTACAGTCTGAGTATATTCACAGGGAAGTTTATACAGTTTTGCTTTCTGTATTTTAAGAAAGCACTGAAAATTAGAAAAGGTTCAAAGAACTATGGGATTATTTATATAAAAGGTAAGTGAAACACTCTCTTTCACCTTCTTATACTAGGGGATATCACAGTGGTAATATACATTCAAGCCCTAAGCAGAATTTTAACGTTCTCTGAAACATGAAACACACACTCAGAGAACCTGGCTGTCTGTGTACTTACAGGAAACAGTGGCGGTGGCTTCACCACTACATCAGGCAACTTTTCACCTCTGCCGAAGCCGACAGCCTCAATATTAAAAGTATAGGAAGCACGTCCTCTTCCTTTATTCCCAGCCATCAAAACTAGTTATACCAGAAGGGAGGGCAAACACTGAAAGACATGACAAAAGATTAAGATTTACCAGCTCATGTGAAAAAGGAAATCAACACTTTGAAGTAAACTATAAACTCTACCTCTTATGCTACACGGCCAATTTAAAATACATTTCGAAACCAAGACATACAAAGAAATAAAAGTGACGAAGAATGGCTGGACCCCTGGTGCACAGTAGTGTCCGGCGGGTGGGGACGATGCCCTCACCCCTCACCAGGAACTGGGTGCAGGGCTCACCCTGACCCTCCCTGGAGATGCTGCCCAATCAGTGCCCAGGCACCTGATGCGGATTTGATTCTATCCCGCTGTGGACTGGCAACAGGGGCTTCCACAGACGTACACTACAGAGAAGAAAAGTCTGGGCCAATGAGGGAGGGTTCCTTGCTTTATTGTATCAATGGGAAGACTATCACCTTCGCAGAAGTTAACACTGGGTTGTTTATCCTACAGTTTGAGTGTAATAAAGGATCCTTCGGATCTAGCCTAACACCCTCCTTTTAGAAAAGAGAACGGGATTAGTAAGACTCTGGAGGGGTCTGCCCACACCAAAACAAAAATTTTTTTGAAAAAACAGCTGAAATCATTAAAAGTAAATTAAGACGGCTGGGTGTGGAGGCAACTTAGCGATTTAGCAATACCCTATATCAAAATAAAATTAAATACATAAGTAGACAGATAAATGAATCAATGAACAAACAAGCGAACAAACAAAGGAATGGTCCAGGGATGCATCTCAGTGCAAAGGCTATGGTCCAATCCCCAGTACCACAATAGATAAATAGGAGTCATTTGTAGGAAACAGATCCACCTTGAGGTTATGTTAAGTGAAAAAAATCAAATACACAAGCTTAACCATTGCCTGGTTTCTTTTACATGAGAAACCCAAAGTATAAATAAATTAAGGAGCAAAATAAAAGATAATAGGAAACAGAGATGGATCTTTTGCAAACAGGAAGAGGACCAAAGTTTGGAGGAAGGAGGAAGGAGGAAGGGCAGCAAGAGATGCAAAAAGAATTAAGATCCAACTTCCCACAATGAATGTAATCATCATGTACTGCAAATGTGGACTGATAAAAATTAAAAAAAAAAAACAAACAACCCAACAATTATCTGTACACTGTTACTGTGGGGATGATAGTGATGCCACATACTCAAGTCTTGTACTCAACTTCTGAAGCCTGTGTGACACGACCGCACCCTAACACAGGGCTGAGCCTGTGCCAACAGCGTGCTGCGTGCAGCGGAGGGGACCACTAACAGGCACAACTTCCATGTCTCTTCACACCAGCAGCACAATCACTTCCCCCACCCAAGTCCAGCAGTCTTGCTACGTCCCCTGGTCACTGAAGACGACAGAGGTGTGGCTTCTCTTTCTGCCTGCTCTGCCCAGTCTCATTTCTCGTCCGTCCATTTCCCTCCTTCCTAAAGAATGAGATGCAAGCCTCAGCTGCTACATTCTTCAACAAAAAGGCCACGACTGTCTCCACCTCATTTCCGCCACATTAATGAGAAAGGAACACATCCTAGGACCAACAAGGAACTACTTCATATTTCTCCACTATCTACAATTTGAATACATTGGTCTGAAAGCCTAAACAATGTCAGCTCATTTTATCACAGGGCCACCACTTGAGGCAAACACATCTTCACGTTGGCTGCCACTAGAATCACAGCTTAAAAGTCTAGAGCAGTGGTTCTGAGAGTGCTTTCTGCAGCGTCCTAGAAACTTGTCAGAAACGCAAACTGTGGGGCCCCACAGCAGACCTACAGAACAAAATAACCCTGGGAGGTGGGCAGTTTTTCTTTTGACTGCAGTGTTGAGGACTGAACCCAGGGCCACATACATGCTTGGCATGTGTTCCAGCACCGTCTACATCCCAACCCGAGAGTCTGTGTTTAAAAAGCACTGAATCACTGAATGGAACCAATCAAAGCAAGCTCTCTCAGGAGTGGTCTAAACGGTTTTCCGGGGATTCTAATGGGGAGAACTGCTCTGGTAGAAGTCACAGCCAATAAGCAACAGCTGAGTTAAAATAAACCCACAGAATCATCTTTGAAGTTTGAAATTATACACATCATCCTCAGTGATCTCAAGAAATATGTCCTCGAGGTGAAATGACAATTGCTGTAAGTTGAGGTAGCACTCAGGAGGTGGCAGTGTGACTTTTCACTCATTTGTGGGGACTCCCATTACCAAGGCATTTCACCTTTAGGCCCCAGGAATGGTAATTTTAACATCCTCACACATTTAAGGCTCCACTTACACACATCAAATCCTATACGCAGCATCTTTCTGTGATGAAATACTGTTTCCTCTTTCCTGTGAATTACTCCAGCTGATGACATCTGATTTCATAGATGGCTACGGTACTGGGGACATTTTCAGATACAACTGTACACTGTACATTTTGTCAGCTCCTGCTTACATGCCTCCACATTTCAAAGTTTTCCCTCACAACTGCTTGAACGTTAAAGGATAATTTTATTATCTCTGCTGTTGTCATTGTAAAGTACGGCTCTCTTAAGGCTTTGCACTTATATTTACTTTTACCACACTGCTCACACATACACAAGTAGGGAGAAGTGTGTAGTAAACTCACATGTGCCCACCACACCGCTTCCACAGTTATCAATCCATGACTAATTTTACACACACACTCTCCTTCTCAGACTCAAATTATCATAAATTCTTCATTATGTATCTTTTCCAAGGGTTAAAGACTTAAAAGGTTACATAACATCATGTCTAAGATTACATAATTCTTTACTATCATCTTATGTATAATCAAAATTCACATTTCACGTTTGTACAGTTTGTTCAAGATACAAAAAATATCAATATGTGACATTTACCATCTTTAAAGTTTTTCATAAAATGTAACAATTTCCCTTCTTTTCCTCTTGTTATTTATTTAGGAAGACACTAGGTCACTGTCCTGTGCAGTGCTTCCCAAACTGCAAGTTACAAGGAAACTACTTAGAAGATTTGTGAAATGCAGGTTTGGATTTGGCTGGCTTGAGTGGGGCCCGGGGATCTACATTTCCTCAGACTCTCCCAGAAACATCAGCATTGCTGGTTTGCAGACCATAACCTCAGAGTAGCAACAACATCCCAAATTCCGCATACCTGAGGTAGGCCTTAACATCTTTCTTTATTCACTGTATTTCCAATAAACATGTGGACTAGAGGTTCTCTTCAATTTAGATTTGATTTTGGGGGGGGGCAAGAATACTTAAAAGAGACACTTGCTTTATCCTACTGCATCACATCAGGGTGCTTCTAAAGGCTCTCTCATTGATGACCAGGCTGCTCAGTGAGGCAGGTGCTACTGGTGTATTTCTCTGAGTATACAGGGGGTGGTCAGAGTACATGGTGAATGTTCACATCTTTAAAAATGTAGTACAGTAAGCAACACACTGCCCACGAATTCCCCTCAAAGTATCCCCCTCGCTTTGAGGACGCCTACCCCATCATCCTCACTACTTTCTGAAGCAGCTCCGGAAGTCCACCTTCACGAGTGTCTTTAGGAAGCGCGCTGAGGAGTAACAGAGAACGGAGCTGCCAAGTGCCATCCAACATAAAGGAGGCTCGCAAAGACATCACGGTGTGTCTTCATCTGCCTTATGCACCAGATCTGGCACTGTGGAACCTCTGGTTCTTTCCCAAAGTCAAAATGGCCATGAAAGAGGAACGTCTCTCACTGATTCACGACATGCAGGAAGGTACAACAGTGCCACGGAAAACACTCAGATGTGGATTTCCAGAACTGCTTCAGAAAGTGGCAAGGATGATGGGGTATTTGTGTAAGTGTCTGGGGAGTGTTTTTGAGGGAATTAATGGCACTAATAATAATTACTGTCTTTTACTGTAGGAAATATTTTGTAAATTTAAACATTCACCATATGTAATTCTGATCACCACTCATAAGTGCCCGTAAGTTTTCACCCTAATGCTTTAGCAGCCCCTGCTAGATCTATTATTTCACCACAGAATGCAAAATAATAATATACACTATCATTCCTTCTGTGTTATTGATGATTATACAAGAGATTAATTTCCCTCACCTACTGCTTAGTTATGTTGACATAAAGTTCACATAGGAATCTCATTTTAATAACTACGATCATCCCATCTGTCCGCATTAAAAGAGGGAAAATACTCAAGTGGATTTTTTTCTACCACTGAGTCACTGAAGCAAATGCTGAGCCTACAGAAAGCAGGTCTTTCAAGTGGGAAAACCCCTGAGCAGAAGGGCTCTCCCTGTACTCATAGAAACGAGTGCAGGTACCAGCAGGCATGGTCAAAAGCCCTGTGCTGTGCGGGCCAGGACAGGATTTGCCATTAATTGAGAATTAGGACCAATTCTAAGTAAAGTTCACCAAGTTTGCCTGATTCTGGGGATTAACTGAGGACCTGACAGACACAGGGTGCCAGGGTACCCTCAAGGCCTCGAATCTGCAACACCGAAGGAATCTTTGAACCATTACACCAGATGTGTGCTGACCAACATCCCCAAACCATGTTTTAGTTCTTGAGATGGGGTCTTGCTAAGTTTCTAAACTGCCCAGGGTGGGTTCAAACTCGTGATCCACCTGTCTCAGCCCAATGTGCTGGGATCACAGGTGTGCGCCACCTCACATGGCTTAGTTTGGAAAACTTACCCTAAAGAGAGAGGGTATCAGCTAGCACTGCTCAGGGGAATAGCTGGTAAGGAATAACAACCTCTGCCAGGCTAACTTTCCATTGTTATGAGTCAATCAGGGTACATAAATGCTCACCATTAGCGAACATACCACCATTGGCAGAGCTCACCTAGCTCTTGAGACACTTCCAACAATTACACTGCATTCTGCCTACAGCCATCTCTTTTAAGTTGAGTCATCCAGAGTCAGCGCTCCTGTACTCAGATCAGTGGTTAATTCAGTCTTTCTTCATCCAGTACCTGAGGAGCGGGGGCTAGGGGGTGGGGGTGTGGGTAGATTCCAGTACCTGAGGAGCGGGGGCTAGGGGGTGGGGGTGGGTGGGTAGCTCCTACGTGTGGCCTAAGCATCCTCTGAAATCCTTTACAGATTCACCCACTGACCGGACCCTTTTCGCCACCCTGCCACACCTCCTGAATGAGGGTTTCTAGCAGCTTTCCAGAGCCCATCAGAGCGAGCCATCTCTCCACCAGAACTGAGCACTGCCAGGCACTGTGCCAGCGGCCAGCTAGCACTGGCAATTCTCCCGGAGCATCCCTTCCTTTGCCATGTCTCTGTCCTAATCCACCTGGCTGTGCTCCACCCACTTCTGATTAACTGCAAACTTTGTGGTAGCTCTGTTCAATGGATTCATTCACGAGATTCAACCTCGAGTGTAGCTTTGCTACTGCTACTCACTTCTTCCTCCTCCTGGCCAGAGAGTGAAATCCGGGTCCCCCCTGAAAGTGCAGGCCCTTTGGAAGGTGGCTGCAGCCTGCCTGGCAGCCCAACACCCCCCCACACCTGCCCTGTCCCCTTCACCTTGGTGTCCGCTGAGATCTCTTGACATCTGTAAGCCACAGCATCCTGCCTTGTGATGAGAAGGACCCATCTCTTAAAATAAATGGATTTCCAAAAACTGAAGTGATGTACACTGCTGTACACTTCAATTTTAGAAGAAACACAGACAACTTTTTAGGAAATGGGCCTTTTCCAAAAAGCAAATGTTTGTCGTTTCTATGCAGCCACTGCTCCACAATTAATATTAAGGTTTCCTTATTCAAGGACCATAGATTTTTTTCTTTCTTTCTGAGACTGCATCTCACTATGTAATAGGTTGCAGCAATCCTCCTGCCTCAGCCTCCCAAGTGCGGGGATACTGTATCTACAATTTCATAAGCAAATCTGTCCACAGAAGTAAAATTCAGTCAGTTTGCTTTCAGTCTTTTTGTTTTTCTCAACTTCCTGAATGATAAAGTTAAAAAATCAAAAACCAAAATACAAACTCAAGGCTACATCCCAGAACAAGAAAATAAGAATCTCCACAAGAAGGATTTGGGCCTCTCTGCTCTTCAGAGATCTCAGGGAACTGCAAATGTTTAACCTAAAAACCAGGGTAGATTAAACCTTCATTGTACAGAAGAGGAAAGTGCGGCCTTAAGAGATTAACCGATAACCTATGGACACAAAATCAGTTCTTATCAATGGCAGCAGAGGATCATGGTCTGGGGAACCTGTCCATTCTCTCTTCATTTACACTACATGCTATGCTGCCCGGAGCACATGCCGGGGTTTGCTGAAGACCTTTTGAATCCCACAGATGGCTTCAATCAACAAAATAATTTAGTAACTGCAAAATACACTTAAAATTGAAAACATGAAATCAGCAGCACTGCCTGTCCATTTCAAGATGCCTCCTTAGAATCTGATCCAAGAGAATGGAAAACAGGCATAGTTCAAGCATCCAAGAGTGGAAGTATGAAAGTCCATTTTAACCAACTATAAAAGCAGCCTCCTGTGGAGGCTGAATTTCTGAAATTTCTCCCAGCCTAAAAATGTAGTGAGTTTTGATTTTAACTTAAATTTCTTGTCCTTATGTCTTACACATTATCAGCCAGAAGAATAATTACATGAACAAAAGTGAACAAGCACAGACCACAGGGAGGTGTGAAAGCCAGGTCTGTCTCCTAGATGAGTGACCTTACACAGTGCCAATCGGGAGGCCGACAGTCACTTAGGCTCTGCTGCTCCGAGCCCCCAGTGTACGGTAGAACAGCTCTGTGCTCTCTGTTCCCATCCTCCGCTTCAAAGTTACTTCCGGTCCTCCAAGTCTCTCTGTGACTTCTAAAATGGCATACATTTCCCTCAACCAGATTCCTCCTTTGGGTCCTGTCTCTGTCATCGTTCTAGAGTACAAACTGGAGATGTCCTTCTCCTCACTTAACAGAGCTTTGTAGTCCTGCTCTCTGCCTCTTGATACATGCGCTGCACACTCACTACCCCGGCCCCTTTTTCCAGAGTTTCACTCCCAGCAGACGACTGGAACAGGCCTGGCATTTTGTAAGGTGCCATGAAATGACACCTTCCCTGAGACCACTTCCTCCACCTACCTCTCCTCTCTGTTTCCCAAGTACTAACTCTGCTTTTTATAATCTTTTTACTATTGTGTTGCAACCACCAGTTCTTGTCTGAGTCCCAGGAGAGCTTGGGATCACCATCCATCCATTCATCAAGTCTTCATTGGCCACTTTCAGCGTCAGTCCTCCAGGATCCGGGAACACGGCAGCGAACCATAAAAAATCTCTGCTGCCATGAGCAACAGTCTAGCTGGGAGATGGGCCAAACACATCTTACAGGGGGTGATGAGAGAAGTGAAGATAGGCCAAGCAGGAAATATCAGTGCTACTGTGCAGCTAAGTGTCCTGTCTGAGTAGTTTGAGCAGAAACCTGACAAGAGAGAAGGGCAGAGCCAGGCAGAGAAGCAGAAGAGGATATCCAGAGGAGGGACAGAAAAGCAGAGGGGACCTGTTAGGTGCGAAGGCCTCCTTGGAGACTTAGTCATATTTTTATGCCCTATCTCTAGTCAGGGTTTGGCAAAAATCCATTGCGGAGAGAATTATTGCTGAGCTCATGGTCTAGAAGGATGTCTACTTCACCTCTAGCACATCCCTTCTGTCTACGGGGAAATATCCAAACTGTGGAGAGAGCTGTTTCTGCGGAGACGCTCTAACAATAATCTTCCAAAGATAGGAAAATGCTACTCCTCAAAAATTCCATCTATATTCTCACAGCACTTCATTTTACCTCCTCTGTGGTTCATCTGTATTGCCGGTTTTAATTTCCCTCACATTCTCTGTTTTTGGTTGAGACAGGTTCTCCCTACATCGTTCAAGTGGCAATGAACTCACCATGTACCCCAGGCTGGCTTCACACTCCCTGGGATCCTCCTGCCTCAGCTTCCTGAGCGCTGGGATAACTGGCCTGTGTCATGGCACCCAGCTTAAATTATCTCAAACTTGGGAATCCAGCTTATGACTTTTTACACAATCCCGTTCTTCACACTTCATCTAGCTCAGGAACTGGTGCGGAAGAGTAGCCCTAACTACACAGCCCCCACCCAGGGAAGGCATCACCACCAAACACGGGAAGTGGAGAGTACCTCTCTCTCTGAAGGGTTATTACTGGTCGCCAAATCAGGGTTTGCCCTTTTACCTTTTATAATGCTGTCTCACGGGCCTCTAATTTCTCCTGACTAAGGAGGGACATTAGTGAAGTTTTCAAGGGAGTTTATTCAGGCTTCAGAGATCCCTGAACAGAAGCTTGCTTGGGGGGGGGCACAGCAGGGATGCAGACTTGTTATTCAAGGTGGGACATTTGTGGGGCTGGCCAGGCCACACCCAGTAATTATCCATGTCTCCTTTCCTCACAAGGTGCACCTTTCCCTAGCTGAGCTTTTCCCACTTACTTTCTTTACTTTGCTCCAAGAACAAAGAACTCCCCTAAAGGGAAAGAGATGCCGAATGTCAGGCTTTTGAAAACCACAGCATTCCCGCTCCCAGATTCAGGGTAAAGCGGCAATCACCAAGAAAACAAACTGGTCTGTCCCAGCTGCAATCTGCGGCAAAGGCAATGCCCGAAGCAACCGTAAAGCCACGGGATTCATAAAGTCTTCTAGCAGTGAGCGCCTCATTTCCCTTCTAACTCCCGGCTCCCGGGAAGAGCAGACTATGCAAGACGTGGAAACGACTTTACAAAATCTCGAACGTCGCGCTCTGATGAACTTCCACCAGCCTCACCCCGCCAGGCGCCCCTCCGACTCCCCTCTCCCCTGGCCATCCCCTCCCGGCTCCTCCACGGTTCCCTGTTACCTGCTCACTAAGTCTCGAGCCTTGGACAAAAGCTGTGCAAACTAAGTACCAGCCGGGCAACCAGGGGTGCGAGCGGCGAGGCTCGGGGCCGCGGGAAGCACCTGGGAGACGCG